GCAGTTCATAAATGCATCGTAACTCCTCCACAGAGTTCAACGTCTCATAGGGAAAGTCCAGAAGTAGGTTATCAACAAGCATATGCACAACAGTCACTAGTTAACTACAATCAGAATACGCAACCACGAGAGCAAAAGCATCAAATCGAAGAGCATGACTTATCATCACGTCCAGCACTGCCACAACGTTTAATGATAGTACCGGAGTCATCACATGTCAATCATCCAGTACTACCAACTTCTACAAGTTCAGAATCATCATCGCAAACGCCACAGGAGCATTCACAAGGTAATTTTAAATCATCATCGCAAAAGCCACAGGGGCATTCACAAGGTAATTTTAAATCATCATCGCAAACGCCACAGGGGCATTCACAAGGTAATTTTAAATCATCATCGCAAACGTCACATAATCATTCGCAAGGTAATTTCAAATCATCGTTACAACCAAAAGAACTTGAGCCACAGCCGCCATCTTCGGTTAATCAGCCACAGTCACCACGAGGAGCACCACCAAGAGATAATCACCAATCTGGTCAACCATCATCTTCGTCATCAACTACATCGCTACAGAGGAATTCTACTATAATACAGCCAGTATCGGATAATCGTCATGTACAACTTACAAATTCATTAGGTCCATTAGTTATCAATGTTTCAGATAGTAAACTTAACACGGAACTACCAAGCCAAGGAACTCAAGCAAAGGATAAAGTCAAGCATGACAGTCAACAAGAAACATGGTCACCACAAGAGGAATTGAATGTCAGTCAACCAAGCACAAAAGGAAACAAACCAGAGATTTTCGTACAACGTCTAGGTACATTTAAACGAAAGGATGACCATCATCAGGTCAGCAACCAAGATGAGTATTACAAAATTTTCAAGTGTCCAAAGATTAGAAAGAGAAATCGAGCCTCGTTCTAAAAGGAATATTAGTAACACAAGTATTAGCATGTATCATATGGAAAATAAGGGATAAATGGAAAATTAGAAATATCAAGTGCAAATTAGCCGAAGAGGGGTCATCAACGTATCATTAAAATAAAGTTTTAGTTTAATTTCTGTTCTGAAGAAGGAGGGAAATGTAACGACACAAATTTACAAAGTAAATTTCTGTGCTACATAAAACAAGAAGCAGAGAAAAACACAGTCTGTGTGTTAAATAACCGCCACCACTACACATAATATATCTAACAACTCACATGAAAATCACTGAAGGCGACTTAACTGGAAAATATAAAATTGAATTAAAATATTTATTTGAAATATCATGGACATTACCTGTGATCCTCGATGCCAATGTGCCGCGGGCATCGCTACATGAAATGTGCAAATTCTAAAAATATACGAAAAACAAAATCAACGTTTGGTTAAAACTTTTATGAATGGAACACTTATAAACGCAACAACAATGAACAATTATCGGCGAAACATGTGTAAATTTTAAACAAATGTCTATTTTTCTACAAGTATATAGAAATAAAACAAAACACAAAACAATGTAACTCTTATCACAGAAAACACGTTTAATTATTGAACAAAGGTCTATTTGAAATATATATAAATAAAATAATACACAAAACAATTTAACACTCATGTTTGTACAATTTTATTTTTATAAACAAAACACAACAAAACAAAACTAAGCACGCCAACATCAATTTTATTTCTTTTAATATTTCTTTTCTGTTCACATTTAGATAATATTAAATTCACAGAATATATATGCATATTTAATACCTTGTTTTGTAGTATTAAAACACTTTATTTTTAATATAATAATATTTAATATAATATAAACTAAAAAGGAATAACACACGAAATAAATAAACACGGCGCGTAGTAAAAGTACTAAAAAAATCACGGCGAAGCAGAAGAAGTGAGAAAACAGTAGAACACAAAGTTCAACTTCACGGCGAAGTCAAGTACAGCAAAGAATACCGGTACGCTACACCAAAAAGCTCCGGTATGCTCGATATAAAAGGAGGTACATTTTATATAATCAGGGACTTGGTTTGCGACAAGTGAAAGAGCAAGTACTCTGGCTCATTGGGCCTTCTGGTAAATTTTACCAAACTTGGAATTTTACTTTTCCTGAAACAAGTACACTGGCCTATTGGTCATCTGGCACATTGTGCCACAAATCTGGCTCTTTGAGTCAAACATAGTGTAAAATTCCTTTCCTGTCTTATATGTTTATTTTTTTTTTAACCTGGCTTATTCGGTCAAATAGTTTTTTACAGCACGGAGGAAACGTTTTGTTTATTTTTTTAACAACAGAAGAGGGGCTTAAGAAGTCACACGGGTTTTGCTAAGATTCTTTTAACAAGGAATATATGGAGAAGTGGGAAATTTTGGCATCAACATAATTTTTTTTTATTTATTATTAGAAATGTTTCCAATGAATTTTAATTAAACTTTGTTAATCATAAGTTTATGAAATAATAAAGTTATATATATAATTTATACATATAAATCACGTTCTGTTTTCTTCTAAAACCCACGTCTCGGCAAAATTATAAATATATTGTCACGACTCTGGACGACGGCTGAGGATACCCCAGCAAAAAACTAAAAATTTTTGAACGTCACCAAAAGTGTCGTTACAGCTGCCAAACTACATAAACTTAAAATATCGAAAAATATACAGCGCGCGAATTTTAAATGAGAATTTCCGAAAACTTTTCGGTCTTAATGTAAGTAGTACCAAATAAATCTAAGACCATTGAAAAATCAAAACTCAAAATTAAATTTCACAAATTGTTATTATTAATTTTTTAATTTAAATATCGAGTTGTTTCATTTGTTTTGAAATAAAATATACCCTGTGTTTGTTCAGTTTCTAAAGGACCTCCCAGAGTTATATTTGTACGTGTTTTGCATCCTTTTCTCTTCTTAATTTCATTGAAACTCTCGCACCTGTATATTGGTACTAATAAATTTCCTTTAACGGCTCTTTCATAGAATTTAACACTTCGTGAATGTGAACAGAACCCCATAGCTTCTACACCACATCCTGGCTGCTTTGAGCCCCAATTTGGATAAAATGATGCTTTTCCAATTGGATTTAAAAAACCATATGTGTCGGTACCCGTGTGTACTGTTAGTACATAACGTGCATCAGTAGCTGCCAAACGTTTTGTCGGTGGTTGATTTTCAAAAAATAAATTTGCCGGATCTAATCCCACTATTGCTGCTAGTTTATCACTCTTAATTAATTTACCACACAAGCCTGCGATATGTGCGCCCACACTATGTCCAATTAACACTGTTTTATTATAATCCAAGCGAAATTTTTTATGAAGAAACTCTAAGAAATCCGCTAAAATTTGACTTAGTGCCGGTACGTGAGGGTATGATACAGGGTAAGCATTTTTGGCATAACGTCCCCAGTCAACCGCTATTATATTATACTTTCCTTTAGGAAAATACGCATTTCGAACGTTAGGATTTGGTTCGTCTTTATAATTATTAAACCATCCATGTATTACTATTCTAAATTAAAAATATATTTTTTATACAAATTTATGTGTGTGAAATGTTAAAACTGTACTTACTTGGTTTGTAAGTTCGAATCGAACTTTGAACGTCTGACTGAGTTTTCATCATTGAGAAATAATTCCTCTGGATGATCTACAGTATCCCTGGTGTATAAATAATATTTCAAGACATCAGCAAAACCTAAGGAAGCTATTTAATTAAATAAATACTTAGTAGGTTTTTTTTTAATTTCTTAATAATTAAAACTTACAAATTGTTATTAACAAATAACATGTTTTTAGAGTAATCATATTAAACGTTTTACAGCAATCGAGTAAAAGTGAAATAAAGTCACGGAACCATTCATGATCGGTTTTTATAGATTTTTCACTCTGGATTGATAAGAACTATAATAGTGTTTATATTAATAACATACAAAACTTTACATGATATAACATGTAAAGATCTTATCGTTTACTTTTAAATAACTGTTAAACCTAACCTATAATTTTAGGTTAGGTTTAGGTTATAACTTTTATAGAGAATAGTGCGATTGCTAATCAATAAATATTTAGAAAGATGTAACAATTTATTTTTTGTTATTTTATTAATTCATATTTATTTCTCAATATACTCGTCTTTCATTTCAATGCATTTGACACAAAAATTCTCTCTAATGTTTTGAAGGCGATATAATTTATCCAGCCCTTCAAAATAAATTACTTTTTCATTTTTTGGGTGTTCTGTTATGTTAAGGTTTTACCACTTCTCCGGTTTGATTATAAGAAATACTTATAATTACTTTGCTAAATCTGTCAAATATATCTAATGAGTTCAAGTCTACATACCGAACGTTATTAGTAGTTTTCTTCTATTAACTATACATAATATAAATTATACCACCTACATTCTAAATGGTACCGTTTCCGCTTTCTTTGGATGTGATTCACAATATAAAACCATTTTTATAATTAATTTGCCCAACCTCAAAGTAAATCACTCTGTCATTTCTTCGGTACTCCCTTATTATAAATCTCTTTCATCTGAACCATTTCTTTAGATTTGGATTTAACTTTTTATTAGAGTCTGATGCAGTCTCTTTAATTATAACATTTCTTAAAAAATTGTTAACTCCATCATATGAATAGTTGAGTTCTTCAATTATGTCAAAAGTGAATAGTTTTCATAGTTTCTTCACATAATGTCATGATATTTTATGTCATATGTCATAAATATAAAAAGAACCTATACAAAGAAACGATATTCCTCTTAAATATAAAAAAGACCGAAACTTTGATTAACTTCGGGAATACTAGAACTACATATATGGTATGTAGAAGAAGTGGCTATATATTGGCAAAATCTAAACATCTGATCACCTGTTCAAGATAACAGTCTTCTTAGAGATTCTACATAATACTAACTGCCTACTAACAAAAATTTGGTTCAACCGAGATTTACAGAATTATCTAGCTATTAGTATATTACTCTTCCACTTAAAATAATAAAAAAAGAAATTATAAAAGCTATAAGTATTTTAATTTTATTTTAGAAAAAAGTTTTTTCTGTTAAATGACCAAAAGGTGCTTCACCTGGTGTCGTGAAGTAATAAATACCAGCTACTCGTCTTATGTCAAGTGGATCACCAATTTCAGCAGTAACTTTTTTATTGCAGCCACTCTTTTCTGATATATTCTCAAAGCTATCGCATTCATATATTGGTGAAAATGAATAACCACGTACTCCTTCAGCATAAAGTGTAACACTGCGACCATGAGAGCATGTACCATCTAAGTCAGTTCCACAACCTGGTTGTAAGCGCCCCCAATTTGGATAAAATGATGATGTGCCGATTGGTTTTAAAAATCCTTTGACATTGCCATTCGTTTGTATAGATTCTACATATTTTGCATCTGTATCTGCCAAACGAGTTTCTGTATTCTCATAACTATATAATGGATAAGCTGGATCCAGACCGACAATAGCAGCTATTTTACCATTTTTAACTTTTTTACCACAAAAACCAGCTACGTGCGCACCTAAACTATGTCCAATAACCACCAAAACATCAAGATTCAATCCAAACTTTTCGTGCAGAAAATCAATAAATTCTGCAACATCCTCTCCAACTGTCGGTACTTTGGCTCTCGCTGATATATAATTCAATTTGGAATATTCATACCAATCAATTGATATAATATTATAGTCGCCTTTGGAAAAATATGCTTCACGTACTGGACGATTAGGACTGGAGGTGTACGAACCACCCCAACCATGTATAAGAATTCTAAATGTAATTAAAATTTTATTTTAAAACGAGATATGAGTTTTTTTTATTCATAAATCTATTTACTTTGTCAGACGTGATTTCTCAAAATGTGACGATTTCACAGATTCAATATCGTCAATATATAACTGATCCGGTGTGTTTGGGTTACTTTGTGTATATAAATAAAATTTAACATTTCCAGTAGCACGAGTATCCTTTGTATCTGCACTGCTTATACGCAAAGGTGACCCCGCAGTATAAACTAAAAAGAAAGATTTTGAAGAGTTAGATGATATCTAGTAAGTAGGACAAATAATTCTTGATATAAGAATACTATATTATTTTTTCAACCTGCATATTGATAGTTACAGAAGGAATTATTCTTATGTCTATGTTTTTTTATTCATATTCTTAAAAAATAATCTCAAAGTTATTTTAAAAATCGATACGAGTATCAATGATTTTCTTATTATTATTAATTATTGATAAGCCAAATGAAATATTGGTTTTTTTTTAATCAGGCACACCAAAGATGTTTTTAAAAAATATTTCCACTTAAATAATATATTATATCTATAAATATAAATATATATTCCATAATATACATTATATTGCTTTCATCAACAAATAAGAACAAATAATAAAGAAATAATAGACATGTCTATTATTGGCATTATTCGGGTCTTCTCTTGAAATTAGCTATTTTCTTAATTTAACACTTATTAATTTAAATAAAAATTTATAAAACTTACTGATTAATGCAAAAATTGTGCAAAATTTAAGAAGCGATGTCATCTTTAATACAACTGAAACTATTCCAAAATTCTCGATAATGGTTTATTTAACCCTTTTTGGATTTTTACTTTCTATAGATAAGATTATAAGCCTCTGAAAGCGAGTGTTAAATTCACTATCCTATTTGGTAAATAAATCATTTTTGGCACTATTGATAAGATTCTGTGTTAATATAAAAATTTAAAAACAGTAAATTGAATTTGTTGATCTATTAGTATAATTATAAATGTTACGAATCGTTATCTTATATATTTCCATATAAAAATAAAATTAATCGAATTGTTGAAAAAAAAAACTATAATAGACTACGGACATGATATACTGTATTCAAATGCTTGTCACTCTTCAGATATAATCTGATTTGCAGTTTCACGTGTAAATGTAGAAAGTTGGAACTTAAAAATCGTGACACAATATCAGTAATTAATTATTTATTAACAATACATTTTTTTCTGCGATATACATATATGCGGTTATAATATATCAGTCAGTCATTTTGTAAATAATATAAATGAAATAAATAACACGAAATAAATAACAGTGTGCTTCTCCGCTATCGGTCATTATCAACAGGAAATATCAAACATCAATAAAATGCAGATCGGTATTAATCGTGATTACCTCTATAATCTGAAACCAAAAATTGATTTTAACTACTTATAAACAAAGGCTTAAGTTTCTGTAGGCTCCCTAATTTAACACACTCGGCGGTAACTCCCGCATTAGCATTGGCCACACTCTTGCCTTTATAAATGCCTCCGGCTGGTTCTAGTTTGACCTTTTTTCTACCTGTTATTATGAAGATTTGTGGATTCAAAACGGCTATCTTAACTAATTGTGGAGGACTCGTTCCTCCCTCCACCTCAGCTAATGAACTAATAAACAAAATAAAGATTCTTACATATACCTAAGTAGGTTTATAAGGAATGAAATGGAATAGTTCCAACGATTTAATTTGATAGTTGAATAAAATAAAAATAAAACTAAAGACACCCATTTTTTTCGGTTTACGATTGAAATGAATCTATAAAAAGTATATTAATCAGAGGAAAACATTGGAAATATTTATAAAATGGATCTATAAAAAGTGATTTAATCATTAGAGGTATATATAAAATGGATCTGTAAGAAACTCTATTTACTCAATGACTACATAACTTCAATAATTTTTTAAATATATAAATTAAATTCTAAAATTCTATCAATAAATGTAGTGAGAGCAATAACATATTTTTTAATTAAAATTGTTTAAAATTTCTTACAATGTTAACCCTTCTGTGACCAAAGTCAGATGTATTTCTTAATATTTGAAAATACTAAAATAAATAATACATTTAGGTATTGATATATTTAATCCTCCAATAAACTGTGTAATCTGCCTAGAGTTTTGATTATTATTGCGTTGAGATAATAGTTAAATTGCTGCTTTAGAACCTTAAACTGATGTTGTTGTAACCAACAAGAACCAATAGAGTAGGGAAGGTGCCAGTTAGGATAGGATATGAGGCAAGAAAATACAGAAGAAAAAAGATTACGTGAGATAGGATGCAACGTGTATGAGTGTTAATTAAAATTAGCCTTGGGAAAGATTAAATAACATAAAAAAATGGACAACGTCATAAGAAATAGAACACATTTTGGACACAGATTGAAAATGTTTAGTACGACACTACATCATAGATTTTAATTGGACTAGATAAATAGATCAATGTCTTTCTGCGTGTAATGAATATAATTTTTTTAGTACAATGGAGCCAACATCAGAGAGGTCGTGTATAAACTAGGGTTAACTGCTCTACATATTGAAGGAGTGTCTTCTTCTAGTCCACTTATGCATTGCAGTAAAGTTTTTAACAGACCTTCGCCTGAAATCTCTAAAAAAGGAACACGTAATAATTAGACTAGATAGTTATTACGTGTTTCTTTCCTAGAGATTTCAGGCGTAGGTCTGTTAAAAACTTTTCTACAATAGATAAGTGAACTAAAAGATGACTCTTCTTCAATATGGAGGGCAGTTAAGCCTAGTTTATAAACGACGTCTCTGATGTTGGCTCGTTTGCAAAAGAAAAGGATATATTCATTACAAAGAAAGGCAGAAAGACAGTAACGTGTGTAATGTCTAGGGTGGGAGGGTGATTTATACTAATCGTGATGCTATTGAGATGTTCATCTGTATGGCTAAGTTTTCATTTATATGTAAATATAATTTTATTGTTTTTTACAGCTCATACTGGAGTAGCACATAAGCAGCAATCGCTCGATCTTTTACTATAGTACAATTAACCCAGTATTCACTTCTCAATTAAGTTAATCCATTTTTAATTTTTTTAAAGTAAAATGAGAAAGTATTATTATCATTATTAAAATGAGAAATTAAAAGTATTATATATAATTTTCAGCCACTTATGATCATAATCAAACTAAAATATTTCAAAACAGATCAAATAGATCAATAGATATAGATACATTAGGACTAATGACATCCTCAGGCACCTAAATATTGTACCGATCAAAAATTACATAAAGGATAGAGCCCTAAAATTATTTACGAAAACTGACAGACTTGCCAACACCGCGTTATCAAATCTCAGAATGGTTACAGGCTCTGGGAGGTATGAAGATCTGAGGTCAGTTATTGCTTAGTCTGATGAAGTAATAAACAATAATCCAGTGAAGGCGTAGAGAGGGGTTATGAAGAAACCTCGCAGTTGATAGAGAGTAAAATAGCCCAAGTACACTGACTCAACTAGCCTTAACATAATAATAGATATAAAAATTTAATTAATTAATAAATATCTGCTTAGATTTTAGCTTCAAAAATTTTAAAATCGTTTTTCATAGAAACTGATATTAAAATTAAATTTAAGCTTAAGTAAACTTTGGGGAACAAGGCTTTCAATCCTAAACTAACTATCCTAAACTAACCAAAAATTAAATTTATTATATCATTAAAATTAATAATGCCGCTATTAATTTGTAAATCAACTAAGTATTTATTTTGTATTATGGCTAGAATCCATCTAATCATAGGATCATTTTTATGTTTTGCAATGATCCATACTGAATGTGCCTTTAACTAAAGTCGAATTCTCCTTCACGGCTATTTTATGGGTTCTCATGTGAGCAGTTAAACCCGCAGATTGAGCGTATGCTTTGTCACATATTTTGCATTTATGATTGCAATTTTTGTTGTGAATTTTTTTATGTACACGTAAGGCTTTCTTATGCCGGAATGATGAACCACAAATATCACAAGAAAACGGACGAGCATCACTATGTGAGGTTAAATGCACATTTAGATCATGATTATCGAAGAAACTTTTGCCGCATTTATCGCATTTTGCAGGACGCTCGCCAGTATGTCGTCTCATATGTGACTTTAATTTACCATGACGCAAGCTTTTGCCACATATCTCACAGACAAACGGCAGGCTCTGTGTATGCTTGATCACATGAAACCTAAGTTCCGTCTCTCTAAAGAATGTCTTACTGCACATATTGCACTTAAAATTCCTAATGCCTGTGTGACGTATTTTATGTTGCTTTAGATTGCCAACTTGTTTAAATGTTTTTCCACATATATCACATATTATTCCAGTGTGATTTAATTGATGAGTTAATAAGAATGCTTCCTTATTGAAAGATTTTCCACACTCCCCACAAACGAATTTTGGATCCTTATTCTTGGTAGTTGCTTTTCTTTGAAGATCTTTTTCATGTTGTATGCGTATGTGCTGCTTCAGACTTTTCTGGTGCTTGTAGGTGCGGGGACATTTTGTACAAGAATAGGGTTTATCATTGTCAGAAATTACAACATTAGTCGGTGTTTGCTAAATATTTAGAATGATATTATATTAGAGGAATGTAAATAATCAAGTTAAAATATTTTTACCAAAGAATTCATTTTAGAATCACTGTCATCACTTATATCATCATCATCATTTTTCCAATCACAATTATCAGCACAATCCATATCGTTCCGTCTGTCGCCATCGCCATCGCCAACGCCATCGTTATCTATTTTGTGTTCTACATCTTCCAGTTCAGCAAAAATTTGAATTGGTTTTTGATCTACTACCTCATTTAAATTTTTCAAGTCCGCAATGGATATGAGTTTTTCACCATCTATTTCGTCGTTCTCAGGAGGAATTTGTAGAAATTCCATCGTTTCTCTCTTGATATCTCTTAATAGTGTCTGCTCTGCATCATTGTCAGCAGCTTTGGTTTGGAATAGTTTCGTCGCATGTTCATTTTGGAAATGCTTTGGAAATTCTTCAAACTCAATTTCCTTATCGCAAAATAAACAATTTGCTTTGTAAATGGTGGATGTTAAACAAAATATCTCACCGCACCTTAATTTATTTATTTCATTTTCACTACTAGAAATTACTTTTAACATTTTCTTTTCTAAACATATATTCTTGTACTAAGTTTTATTGTTAATTATTTATTATTTATTATTTATTAACGGAAACCATATACGGCGTCTGACTTTGACTTAATTAAATTCGTGTTTACTTTAAATATATTGCATGTGAAAACGCGTAAAAGTAACCGGTTGTGATTGTCATAAAGTAATCATAACAAAGCATTGAATACAATTACTGTAACACAATTAATTCGGTACTGTTAACAGAATCAATTCGGTACTGTTAACAAAATCAATTCGGTACTGTTAACAGAATCAACATAACAAAATAAATTAATATTGAATTAAAAACAATTTTTTTTTTATAATTAAAAAAAAATAAAATTCAGAATGTATTGAGAAGAGTTTTCATCAATCTTTATGTAATTAAAATATGCTCATAAGTACCATAATTTTTAACGTACGTATATATTAATATACATTATAATATTTATATTGTTTATTAATATAAATAAAAGAGAAATTTCGAGCAGTACTGAATTGCAACAACAAAATTTTTTATTAATATTAATTTTTTATTGCCGAAAGTGAAGAATCTTATAACAAAAAGACGCTTTTTAAAAGTTTGAAGGGTTCGAATAGAAATGAAATAAAAAGAAATGAAAATTTTTGTTTTTAATTAATTGAATTTTTGGCTGTCCATACATACAGCTGTTTCGGGAATTGCCAAATACCCAACATTAGTGGTCTTGAAATTATTTCATATATTTAATTATTCGTAATTGCTTGAAATTTTATTATCAAAGATAATATAAAAAATATAAATTACTTTATTACTAAAATTTTAAGCAATGTTATAAATCAATAATTTATTTTAAATAATTTTAAATTTATGTTTATATGAAGTAATATAGTACTAAATGAAAAATAAATTTTTTTATTAAAATTTAGAAACTTTGCTTACTTTATTTTTATTTTTTAATTATTAAAAATAAATCAAAACCATTTATATATATATATTATATAATAAAATAAAATATATTTAGACTGATTTTTCGCAACTTTTTGTGCCAAATTATCATGACGATATTTGTTTAATATAAACAGTTTAAACAGTTTTTTTTTTTACTTAATATAACTAAAAGAAAATATGAAATTAAAACGATATATAAAAATATCACCGCAAGTGATATCTTACAGTCTATCAGTCGTCCTAGACAGGTGCAAGATACTCTTCAAAACTTGATTCTGGTTGACTTCAATTTAAATCCCGCATATATCCAATTCATTCCTACTGATAAAAAATGCTCTCCCCTCAATACTGTCCTATCATCACCCAACCATATCCAAACCCATGTATATGCCTTTGTAGTTTCTATTGTTTTTTTTTGTAACCCGCTGGGAGCTGCTTGTAAAATCCTCTTGAATTATCATGGTAGCCGAGTAAGAGCTCGTCGTGGTTCACGTGTAGCTCCTGGGCGTAGACCCAACCAATCTGGGAACCTATTATAGCTTATATTGTTGTTGTTGTAACCCGCTGGGACTCACATGGGTAAGAAGGCTGACACTTTGTGACTGGGGTCACGAAAGCCGTGGTTATATAGAGGGATGGTGGGGGATTACAGTCCCATTCATCGAAGAAGTGTTACAGGTATTGGGGGGGTTTACAGCGCAAGGCTTGAACAAGGTCTTCTGGGAAGGTAGTAGGAGTAGAGACATCAGGGGGGGTCATGTAACCGGGTGAGGCATCTTCGGGGTAGTTTATATTAATATTATCTGCTTTATAGATCCCTGCGGACTACAACAACAACAAATTGAACTAGACCGCTTGTATATTCCTGGCGGACTGTTTTATAAGGAATAGTTGCAAATCATTATAGCCAATTCTGTTATGCTTTTAAAAAAATATTTATTAATAACATGCAATCTGAATTCATATGTCATGGAAAAAATTATTGTAAATGAGCTTGTGTGCTGCCTCTTAAACATGTTAAATTACAATTAAAAACTTGTCTTTATAATTTTTTACTCAAAATTACTTTCATGATCTATGATTTGTTATATCTACCGATCTTATATAAATATCTATATTGAACATTTAATAACAAAATTTTTTCTATATTCTATTTTTATGTAAAATACTTAAAATACTTAAGAAAAATTAAAATATATTTTTGCATATTAGGTTACAAATACATCGCAATAATAAAACTTTATTGCTTTTTGGCAAATATATCAATGGCTTACTTTTAAAGCATTTCAATTTCATCCAAAACTGTCGTGATATCATCTTTAATGGCCGTATTATGGGTTCGCATATGTGCAGTTAATCCTCCCGCTTGTGCATATGACTTCCCACATATTTTACATATATGTTTACGATCTTTGTTGTGGATTTTCTTATGCACACGTAAAGCTTTTTTATGTCTAAACGCAGAACCACATATATCACATGGAAATGGTCGTTCATCACTGTGTGAAGTCGCATGTACGTTCAGATCATGGGTGTCGAAGAAACATTTACCGCACACTTCACATTTTGCTGGTCGTTCGCCAGTATGCCTACGCATATGTGATTTAAGTTTTCCATCACGACAAGGTTTTCCACATATTTCACAAATACTTGGAAAATGCTGGGTATGCATTACCATATGATTATTTCTCTCATGCTCTGTGAAAAACATTTTACCACATTCTTCACATTTGAATTCTTTTACGCCTGTATGCCGTTTTAAATGCAATTGTAAATTACCAACTTGTGTAAATTTTCTGCCACATACTTCACAAGTAAGACCTTTATGCTTAAACAAATGCGTGTCTAAGTAACGTTTTTCTCGAAACACCTCTCCACATTCTTCGCATTTATGCAATTCTTTAACAAGTTTTGAGGTATGGTGGATACGTATATGACCTAATAAGCTCTTTTTGTGTCTGTAGGAACGAGGACATTGTGCACATTGGAAAGGCAAATTATCGACTTCAATATTTGGTTTATCATCGTTCTGAAAATTAAAATGAAATTTGAAATAAACAAACAATATTAAAAACAAAAAGAAAAAAAACAAATTTAATACCTTTAATTCTTTTCCCTCCGTGTGATTAACTCGTATATGCTGATTTAAATATATTAATCTCTTGTATGTACGGGGACATAACTTACATGGATAATCTCCTATATCCTTTCCAATCGTATCACTTTGTTTTGTTTTCTAAAGTAGAAACAATTATTTTAATATATATTCATTTTTATGAATGCATATAATTACTTTTTTCTTTAATGGTGGCAAACTAGAGTGATCACTCCAATCATCATTGTCATCATCATCACATTTCCAATCACTACTCTCTTCTGACACATCTAAGTTTGGCTTTTCATCTTCCTTATCTTCTGGTATGAATTCTTTATGATCATTTAATACTGCACCTTCTAAGACTGAAGTTTTTAATATTGCACCTTGACTGCTTTGTAAGTCTTCAATGTTTATCAGTTTTTCATCCTCTATTTCTTCAACTGCATTTTCTGTTGATTTTCCACACAAATCATCAGTGGATTCAAATTTTGTGTTTTCAATTTTAACTTCATTAACTGTATTTATTTCCTGCAAAGCTTGTACAAAAATATCTGTTTCTTTAGAAATATGATCTTCCTGCGAATTCTGACTATTTGAACTTAACAAACTTTGTGGCGGATGATTCATTTGCACGTGAGTTAATAAATTCTTTTTATGTGAATAGGCACGTGGACATAGTAAACATTGGAACGGCAAATCAATCATATCGGGGGTATCATTATTCTAGAAAAATTATGTTTAGTTTGAAAAAAAGATAAAACTAAAAAATTACTTGAGCTTACCAAAAATTCTTTGTGTCCACTGTGAGTGGAAAGTATATGTTGGTTTAAACAAGCTATGCGTTTATATACACGCGAGCACAGCTTACAAGGATAATCTGGAGTATATGAATTATCATTCTTTTGTTTCTTAGTTTTCTAAAACAAAATTTTTATTTATTAAAATCAATGTAGACTTTTATTTTTAAAATATATAAAATTACTTTCGTCGTTGAATTTTGAATTGCGTTAGTGCTGCTTTCGAAGTTGACTTCATCGTTTTCCGGCGTTGATTTTTCACACAGAAGTTCAGTGGACTTATCTCTTATATTTTCATCCTCAACTTCATTTAATTTAATTGCATTTAAATCTTTCAATGTCTCTGTAAATATTCTATTTGAATCAATATGATGTTCCTGAAAGTGTTTGGGAAAATCGTCAAACAACAAATGTTCTCCACAAAAAAAGCAAGTTGCCTTGTAGGCCGTATCCGCATGCCAAAAGATTTCTCCACATTTAACATTATCCGACCTGTTTGGATCATTTGAAATTATTTTAAGCATCTTTTTCAACGCCTTAATTATATGGAAGAAAATCTGTTTCTAATAATAGCTTGGAAATGCTTAAATCCTAACAACGCCAGACTGTCAACAAATATTGTCAATAAATATATACTGTCAAACTGACTGTTATCGATAGTGTTGTACATTTCCGCAAAGTAATCAATTTCGATTAATTCTTTTAGTGATACATTGAATACCACATATGAGAAGAATATCTGCTTATGGTATGTGTACTCGACGACTACACTGACTAGACTTTGGCAAGATATTTATATTCGAAAATTAATTCATATTCGTATATGTGAAGAATATCTGCTTATATACTTGACGACTACACTAACTAGACTTTGGCAAGATAATTTGAGATGAATATCTGCTTATATACTCAGCTACTACACTGGCTAGAATTTGGCAAAATATTTATATTCGAAAATTAATTCATATTCATATATGAGAATTTCTGCTTATATACTCGGCGATTACGCTGACTAAACTTTGGCACGAATTTTGTGTTCCAAAGCAAATTCATATATGAGAAGAATATCTGCTGATATACTCGGCGACTTCACCTACTAAACTTTGGCAAGATTTTATTATTCGAAAGCAAATACGTGTTATTTTCAAAGTTTTTCTACAAGAAAAATTTGTGTATGTTGGTCACAAAAATTGGAAAGCATATATATATATATATCTTGGTCGAAAATCTAACCAGTGTAGACGTAAGGATGTATGTGTTGCTGAACAATTTTTTTTATTTTTATTTTAATAGGAATAAAGCATCGGCAAGCATTAAAAATACCCACTAAAACCATCTGTTTGGAATGCAAAATGGACAAATTTCAGCTGTTAGCCCATTACGGTTAAAAGGTGAAACCTTATTCCTGTGATTAAGGGAAAGGCAGACATAAGAATACAGAATGCTTACATTTTAGAGTGAAAAACTTGAATTTAATAAAAACGCGTCTTGCGAATGCAAGACGGACTAATTTCAGACGTTGAACCGTAAAGGTTCAACACTGAAACTCCATATGAGTCATCAAGACAAGACATTTAATCAAAAACGCTTAGAATACAAACAATAAATATATCTAAACCAAAAAGGTACGTGAGTAATGGAAGGAAGGGAATAATGTGTAGGTTAGGTTAGGTTATACCGGTGATCCCTATTGGATCCACTTAGGCCTATTGGCCCATTGTGATGCCGTATATAAATACTAAAAGAAAGTAAAAGAAACCTCAGGGTTTAAAACCACCTAGAACCTTTTGCGAAGCATAAAATGCTATTTAAAGCCCGATCCTGTAACTGGTCCAGGTCCTCAAGGAAGGGGGCCCCTAGAGTACTAAATCGCCGACGTGCAAGAGCTGGACAAAAACACAACAGATGAGATGCGCTCTCATCGTCCTCCCCACAGCTACGACAGATTTGGTTGAAAGGAAGACCTAGTCTTCTAGCATGGTTCCCTAGCTTACAGTGCCCTGTAATCAACCCTACCAGAAGACCAATGTCCTTGCGGGACATCTCAATGAGAGTTTTCGATTTCCTTTTATCGGAAAGTGGCCAGATTGCATACAGATGTCTACATATCGTTGAGTCTTCCCATCTTTTATTAAAAGTATTAGCGCAGAAAGAACTCAGTATCAGTTTACATGATGTTAGCGATATGCCCAGATAGTCTAGGTGCTCCGAGTATGGTTCTGAAGCACCCTTTCTGGCTAACTCGTCTGCTTTGCAATTTCCGAAAATATCCCTATGGCCGGGAACCCAGATTAGAGAAATATTGAGCTGCGTCGACATTTCGTTTAGAGATGTGTAGCAGTCAAGAAACGTCCTAGATGTAAATTGAACCGAACTCAAGGACTTTAATGCAGCTTGACTGTCTGATAGTATGTATATATTCCTGCCAAATATATCATCTACATTCAAACAAGCTATAGCTTCCCTGATGGCGACCACTTCCGCCTGAAAGACACTACAATGATCTGGAAGCCTAAAGAAGGAAGATTTGTTCAATTCCTCTGAGAAAACTCTACTACCTACACCACTACTTGTTTTGGATCCGTCAGTGAAGATGGTTACGCCCTCATCTAAGAAGGGGCCACCTGACGTCCATACCTCTCTAGATGGAAACACGACATCAAATTTCCTGTCAAAGTTGAGAGTGGGTGTGATGTAATCAACGTTTTTAGGAGTAAAATTGAAAAGATTTAGAATGGAGGCATGACCATAGTCACTGTCTCTACATTGTGAGGTAGCTTTTAGTCTTAAAGCAGATGAAGCTGCCATTTGTTTACTAATAATATCCATTGGCAGTAACTGAAGCATCAAATCTAGTGCAATGGATGGTGTGGTGCATAGCGCCCCGCTAATACAGAGTTCAGCTCTACGCTGAATCCTGTTAAGTACTGAGCAGTACGAAGATTTATCAAGAGCTGTCCACCATACCGTAATACTATACATCAATATGGGCCTAATAACAGCTATATATAGCCATTGGGTGATGCGAGGTTGAAGACCCCACTTCTTACCAATAGCTTTCTGACATAGAAGAAGCGCAACATTGGCTTTTCTTGCACGCTCTAGAGTGTTTTTCTTCCAAGTGAGTTTCCTGTCGAAAACTATACCTAAAAATTTGGCTTCCTCCTTCACATGTATCACAGAACCTCGTAGATAGGGTGGAGAAAGATTCGGGACCGTATGTTTTCTTGTGAAAACCACGATTTCAGTTTTATTGGGATTCACCCCAAGGCCACATTTTTGTGTCCAATTGTTTAGGATATTAAGACCATTTTGTAGAATATCCCTAAGAGTGGTAGTATATTTTCCGGTGACTGTTATCGCAATATCATCCGCAAATGCAATAGTTTCGCATCCCTCCGCCTTCAGTTGTATTAGCAGTTCATTCACCACTATGTTCCAAAGGAGAGGGGAGAGTACTCCTCCTTGGGGGGTACCTCTATTTACCCTTCTGCGTGCCGTTGATGAGCCCATCGTTGCTTCAATGAGTCTGCCAGTTAGCAGCTGATTTATAAAGCCAATGAGCGCATCATCAACACCCAGACGCGAGATCGCGCTTACTATTGCACTCGGGAGTATATTGTTAAAGGCCCCTTCAATATCTACAAAAGCAACCATACAAATAATGTGTAACCAAGAATTAACTTTGTACAAGGGGTTATTGATTGTAGACCTGAATTACAGTAGAGACTCGTGCAATATCGTGTAAATATATCAAATATATATGTGCAATATATCATGGAAAGATTATGACGACTAATAAAGTATTTGCGAATTAGAGATAAAAAGAAGCTTAATATAATCGTTCAATGATGAATTAGACAGATTTTTACCTCATGTTATTACATCAATGGGAAATTGAACTGTGTGCAGTATATCAGGGTGGGAGTATGGCTCGTAGTGAGTGAATAAATATTTATGAACTAAAGATTACAAGTTATTTAACCGCTGAATGATGGAATGTTGACAGCGAAATTGGGATATTGTCTGGCATAAGGTCTGACTACTAAGTCAAGGCAATTCTGAAGCAATCCTCTTCTTTTAAATTCTCAAAGCCGTGCCATTTAAGCGGACAAAATTTCGGGCTCTTTAAAGAGTTGAAAACTACTAGTAAATACGTTAACCTACGCTTGACGCTAAAAACCTTTAATTTAAAGACTTCGAACCCTCATAACTTCGATTTAACTCATAAGTAGATAAGGATATACACTAAGAAAAGTATCTGCCAAAATTTTTGAGAGGTTAAACTTGATTTTCCAAGTATTGTAACACCTGGACAGAGAATTAAGATTATCCTTAATTCCTGTGCTATCCTCGAGCTAACATACAGATTTAGCGTAGATCAGACAATCATCAACATCACTTAACTGTGTAAAGTTAGTGAGGTTCAGGTATATTCGATGTAAAAATACTAAAACCCAAGGATCCAAGAACTTTTAGATAATTTTGAACCAACAAATACCTGATAAGACCAAAAATTAGTAAAAATTAGTAAAATATATTACAAATGAAAGTTGTGAAGTGAGAACCAATCTGTTAATCCACACCTTGGCCAGAGCTTTTGCAATAATTTTTTACTTATAATTCGTTTTTGATTAGCTTTAATTTTGATACGCAGTTTTATTTTCTCATTTTTTTTATCAAAATTTGCACCAATTACTGCTACATCAGAATTTTTCGAGATTATTATTAAGCCAACAGACATAAGAAATAAGTATGCAAATACTTCGCACATTAATGTTCCTGTCTATCAATGATTCAAACCCTCATAGAGATAAACCCGAAACTGAGTTATGTATGATAACGTAAACATGATGTTAATAGATATATTTATACTTTTTTCTTTAAAAAAATTGTAGATTATTTATTTATGTACGCTTTAAAGTACTTTATAAATGTTCTTTTCTGTTTGATTTTAATTAAATTAATCAACTGCCTTCCAGACCAATTTCTATACTATTGACTGGAATAACTGTTATAATGTCTTCAATACTATTTATATTTTTGGTAGGTTCTGTGCCATGAGAACGCATATGAAACCTTAAACCGCCTGATTGTGCATAGGCTTTGTCACATATTTTACATTTATATCTCTTATCCTTAAGATGAATTCTTTTATGCACTCGCAAGGCTTTTTTTCTCTGAAATGTGGCACTACATACATCACAGACAAAAGGACGTTCTTTAGTATGCGATACAGCGTGTACAGTTAAATCATGAACACTAAAAAAGCATTTACCGCATGTTGTACATTTTGCAGGTCTTTCACCTGTATGACGGCGCATATGCGCTTTCAGAACACCACGATCTCGACATTTCCTTCCACATATTTCACAAATAACAGGCATAAAGCCAGTGTGACGCATAATATGCGACCGAAGTTCCTTGTCAGTAAAAAAACTACTATCACATTCATCACATTTGTATGCTTTAATTCCAGTATGTCGAATTTTATGTCTTTGTAAGTTTCCAGTTTGTGTAAATGATTTACCACATATATCACATACAATACCTGTATGCTTCCATTTATGGCCACGTAAATTTCTTTCAGTGCGAAATGATTCTCCACACTCACCGCATTTGAACTTGAATTTTGGCAAAATGCGCGGCCGGGATGGATTATGATTTATTCGCATATGATTGTATAAGCTTCGTTTGTGTTTATATTTTCGAGTACAAAGACGACAGGAAAATTGAACATCACTGTCATTAGTTTTTGAATCATCTGTTTCCTAAAAAAAAAGAATCTTTAAAAAACTACATAAAAGACAATATAAAAAAACATAATTACACTTGTTTCATCAAGATTTTCATCATTCCAATTGGTGTCTTCTTCATCAGCTGAAATATGTGATTCACTAATAACTTCAGTTTCCTTAATATCTATGCTCTTCACAACTGATTCCACTTCAAGTAGTAATTCTTCTATATTAATAGGATTTTCATCTTCTTCCTGCGTTGTTACACTTTCTAAGACAGTTTGAAACTCCTCATCGACATTCAATTCAGCTGTTTCTAATGATTCACATTCGTTTTGGGGACTTTTGTCTTTCAATTCAATTGGCTCGATTTTTGTAGTTTCAACTTGTTTTTCAAAATTTTGTGCAGTTTCTTTTATATCCTTGCTGTCAATAGTTGATACTAAATGTTCTTCTTGAAAATGTTGAGGGAAGTCGGAAAAGTCTATGTGCTGACCACACAAGCAACAAGCTGCCTTATAAACCGTTGACGTCAAACAAAATATTTCTCCACATTTAAGATTGTGGAAGGCATTAACTTCCGGTATTACTATTTTCAACATTTTTATTGTTTTTGAAATTAATTTTTAAAAAATAACTCTGAAAACTTTCTAAATGTAAACATTTCGTTCGTTCAAGCAAATATATAGTGATGGGGAATTAGAAACGGTTACTTGAATATTTTATTATGTTCATACTCTGTGTTAAAACAAAGCAAATATTTTTATATATTATTATATTTAGCATTATAAAAATATGTTATTTTATAGTTATTCTTCTTTAATTATTATTCAAAAATTGAATGTTATGCAATCATATAAATTACCATCCATATGATTCTTCGTGGAATGATAACTTCAGTGGTTTCCCATTGCCTTCTGAAGGGTTTAAAGTTTTCAGTCTTAATCTCAAGTTATTTAACCGTCCTTAACATAAGGAACAGATGCAGTTTGCAGCCGCCAAAATGTTATAAACAGACGCTACGTTTCGACTCGTGAATGGACACGGAAATTTCTTCCACGCGTCCATGCTCGCGTTGTTTCTTTTATCGTCTCTTACGATAAGGTAAACGCTCCTGCAGTGCTATTCTCTCCCGGCATTACACGGGATATAATTTTTAACATTATATTTATAGCATTAAAAATATTTTATAAGATATATACTGGTTTTTCTGCAAAACGAACTGTCCCGTACTAGTATTTTCTTGTTATATATGAAAATTAATTGAGAAGTACATTTATTATTTTTTAACTATATTTTATCAGAAAAAAAATATGGAATATGGATGGAAAAACATTTTTATCAGCTAACAACTCCTTTTTGTAAAAAGTGTTATAATCATGGTTTTTAAAAAAAACTATATCATAAATACGTTATATTGAATAATTTTAAATAAAATGTTCTTTAATATTACTCCCTAAACCCTAAGAGCTGTTTAAAGAAAATTGTATTTTTAACAATATAATTGAATACAATTAAATGTTTTAATACTGACTATATAATATATAAATATATTATATACCTTATAATATACCTCACTAACTTAGACTCCAGAATTATATCCATTATGGTACCAAGTTTTATACCATATGTGCGACCACCCTAACTGAAGCAAGAGAATATTTTGGACAGGGCAATTACTCTATCGCTTTTATAAAGAAAATAATGTTTTTAAAGCCTATACTACTGATATCGGACAGATATTTTAGAAAGAGATACTTCGAAATGACTGTACGCTTTCTCGAGAGTCCCAAACAGTGGCACAGCACATGGGTAAAATTTTCCTCTGACTCGCATCTGTAACAAAAGTCGTTGGCGAGAGCCGTTAATAGGTCGCTGTGTCTTCTAAAGAGACACTGTAGCGTCACAGTACGTTCTGCTTTGTTCAAAGTGTAGTATAAAATTTCATGAATTATAACTTCCATAGAAACGCTGCTTGGCAAGAATTGAAGGAAACTGCTGGTAATAGATAGAGGAGAAGTATATTTTGGGATAGATATTGTTGAATGACAAGATTCTTCATATACTACAACGCCTATCATTATTCAAATTATGAATAATAACGAAGACGATAACAGCGACATAATACCCTAGATTAGTTTCTAAGAAAGTCATTTCGGTGATCTAGAGGCTATTAGTTTAGCTACTCACGAAACCAAAATATTTGTATGTGACAGTCATAATCGTATAGTTCTTATGTATATAGAATATGCTGTCGAGGCTTAAGATGGAATATTCCAAGAAACCTTAATCGTTTGCGAATAGTGTTATATATCTCTTATAATGCAACTATCACTCGCTTTTATAGTAATTGTACACTTAACATGTTTATGTCTAAGATAGTTTTTTAATAATTATTTTTAATAACCATATATTTCATTTATAATATTATTGTTAACTTATTTCTAATATACACAATGTCTTTATATATTTTGTGTCGTCCTTAATAGTTAATACATTTTATTAATTAATTTGCTTATATTAATATAACAAAATTTAAAAAAAAAAATTTAATTTAAAAGTTGATCACCTAATTATAATTTTCATTAAATTATCTAATTAACATTCCGTGACATCTTCCAAGATACATTGGGGTGATGCCTTTTGATATGCGAAAATAAACTAGGTCCCTGAGCATAACTTTTATCACACTCTGTACACTTATAATTTTTATTTCCTAAATGTATGAGTTTGTGAGTATTTAAAACTCCTGCACTATAGAACGCTGCACCACAGATTTCGCACTTATGCTTACGTACCCTTCTTTTTTTCAAACTCGATACATCAAGAGGTAGGGCTAAATCGTGATGGACTCGGAAATGGTCAGCTAAGTTTCGTTTGCGCTTGAATTTTCTTGTACAATAAGGGCAAGAATATTGTACATCTTCATCATCTGTTGATTCCTGAAATCATTTCCCTTCATATAATATTATATAAAAATAATGTGCAAAATATATATACATTTGTTAATTCAAGATCCATATCATTCCAATTAACATCATCTGCATCTGCATCAGTCGAAGTTTGTAAAGGGTTCATAATCACTTTTTTTTCATCAACTAATTTTGTTTCCACTTCGAAATCATCTATATCAACAGAATTCTCATCTTTAATTTCCCTTCTTGCATTCTCTAAAAATGTTGAAAGTTCCACATCCTCATTTATTACGTCCTGTTCTAATGAACGGCATTCACTTTGGGTGTATTGGTCTTGCATTTTAATTGATGGACGTTGTTTTTTAGTGTTTTGTCTATTGTCATTTATTTCTTTGTGGGATATTGACGATATTAAATGTTCATCTTGCAAATGTTGAGGAAATTGAGAAAATTCTATATGATGTCCACAAAAGCAGCAAGCGACTTTGTAAAGAGTTGAGCTTATGCAAAGTATTTCTCCACATTTGAGATTGTGAAACGTGTTTACTTCGGGTATAAATATTTTCAACATCTCGAAATATATGAACAAATTAACTTTTCAAAGTAATTTTAGAAACTCTTAATGTAAATAAACAAAATAATACAGTGATGTAGTTTTTGAAATGGTTACTTTATGAAACGATGTTTGACAAGAGTTTTATGTTCGAATACAAAAACGTATGTTTTCCGAATTATGTCTATTTACAACAATTTGTATGGGCTAGTGAGAAATGGAGAATTGACTAATGTACTAAATTCAAATACAAAATTTAAAAAACAAGAACTATAATAAAAGAGTACATCACATAAAATGAAATTTAAATGAACTATTATAATTAGCATATGCATATCTTTATCTTTTTTCTAAAGAACTTTGTTTAAAACTATTCCATATAACATTAACATTGTTAATAATGAAGCACTCTTCCATTTAATATAAATAAACTATTTAATTTGATGGTATCCCTTCGTCCATTGTGTTGAACGCTATTAATTTATAAAGAATCTTTATTTATTATTTAATTTATTATATTATATTATCATTTTTAATATATTAGATTTATATGATATTATTGTACTCTATTATTTGGCAAAATAATATAATATTTTAAAATATAGCACCTTCAAACTGATATATGTAATGATTCAAAATGGTTACTTTGTTACATTGATTTTCGGTATGTTTTCATTTATTCACATACAGAAAAACGTATGTCTTCACATTAATAGTTTTGAACCAATTCGAGATGAAGACGTATTTGATAAAATCATCTGATATATGTACTTTTTCCACAAAACTTTTTGCCGATATAACTTAATGCTATTCTTGTTATAGACCGCTGGGACCTGTAAACAGATAACATGAAAAGGTTTACAAGATCAACCCATATAGTAGGGATGTGGATAAGTAGTAATTGAAAGTGGTAGTATGGAAGAATAGGTAGAAGGGGTAGATTATGGTGTGTAGTGTTCAAATTAAAGATCAACCCTGCTCTGGACGAAGAAACCTAGCCACTTCAATAGGGTGAGTCCAAACGTTGAACGGAAATTTGTGCGTGCAGTGGGACAGGTGCACAGATAAGCAACGTCATTGGGTGCAGAGCTGCAGTTTGGGTACACATTAGGAATTTACGTGTTTATGCGTGACAAGTAACTGTTCAGCACGTAACGATATCCTGATCACAACTGATCTAGAGCATTGCTTAGCACAGAAAGAACGACGTCTCCCTGGAAGATTTTAGGCGAAAGCCTGTTAATAACCAAGTTGTGTGACAACTTTGATCTTGAACTTGGCATCTGTGTGGAGTGCTCTATGTCCGTATTTATATTCGATCTCATTGATGATAGATACGTTGCTAAATGTGTCGATATATCTATGAAAAAAAAGAGGGATCATAGAATGCACATGACACTATTGAGATTTCTATCTGTTTGGCACGCAAACTGGTATTACTTGGACAGCAGTTCTTTATGGTCTTTTACAACAAGCATTTTAGTTTCAGCATGGAGATAGTCAACAAGCGTCATGCGATGGCAGTTCGTTGAAATTCGAAATGCCGTGTATTCGATATTCTAGTTGCTATTGTTTATTCTGGATACAGATTAGACATATGATCTTAAACGATTACCATTACTAATCTGTGGACACCTGTTGGTATGGTCATTTTTGGACATGATGACCGACACTTGGTCATAGAAATTGACGAGTGGCTCCGGGAAGTAGATCTAGCCGCTCCTGAAACCTAACTGTTGTTTCTAAACTATTTTTGTTCATGTTATATAAAAGTGTGTATTGATTGACTGTCTATTATGTGAAGAAGGAAGCTGAACTGGAATGTATCAAGTTAGGAAGAGTTATCTAACGCGTATACTTCTTGTTAATTATTATATTTAGCATTAATATATACATTGTTTGATATGTACTGCTTTTCTTCTTAGTTTAGTCATTAAAAAGATATACAGTGTCAAAACCTCATACGTCAAGAACCAAGTCAACTGGCATATAGTGTAGTGAAAAAAATAAAAATTTTACTTTCTTTTTTTTTTGTTTAAAGACTATTAATGAAAAATTTAAAAATAAACAACTGTTTATATTATTTTTATATTTATTTTTGTGTATATAGTTCTTGGTTATTTAAAGTTGCTAAAGCTTCAAAGTATTTTGACTTCTTCATCAGGTCGGGATAATTAAGCAACTGAATTTACATTCATAGAATTAGAATGCTTATATACATTCATTTGGGTTTTGCTGACTTCTTTCGGTTCTTCTCTCTTTCGGTGTCACTATTCTATTTATGTTTTTTAAGCATATAAATCTATTAGATCAATAACTTCTTGTAAAGTCTATTATTCTGATTTATTCTTTATTCAGCTTTCTCTAACGGAATTTAAACATATATTTACTAACAACTTATCCAGTTTTGTCGCCTATTTCTATTGCCGCGGTAAAAGCAAAGAACTGATCCACTTTACAAATTTCTTCTCACTTGCTTTTAATACTATATTCAATTTGGATACAGATTACACATATATTCTTAAGAGTAAGAGCAAAGAACAGATCCACTTTACAAATCTTTTTTCACTTCCTTTCATATTCAATCAGGATACAGATTAGTCATTTGTTCTTAAAGGAAAGCAGTTACTTATTCAGTTTAATTGCGTAATTTCATTACCGCAGTAAGAGCAAATAACAGATCCACTTTACAAATCTCTTCTCATTTGCCTTTAGTACCATATTCAATCTGGAAACAGATTAGTCATATGTTCTTAAACGAAAGCAGTTACTTGTCCGGTTCATTCGCGTAATTTTATTACGGCAGTAAGAATATAGAATAGATATACTTTACAAAAGCTTTCTTACTTGCTTTTAATACCATATTCAAATTACCACAGTAAGAGCAAATAACAGATCTACTTTACAAAAGCCTTCTTACTTGCTTTTAATACCATATTCAATCTGAATACAAATAGGCATATGTTTTTAAACAATATTATTTACAAAAGAGAAACAGTATTAATTTTCATTTAATTTTATAAAATAAAATTAACAGTATAAAGAATTTAATGCAGACTTATTCAAATCAATTTAATTCTTTTATTTTAATACCCATAAATACCATTTTAAAATAATCATTTAAATGCGCATAATAACGAACTTTTACAAAGCCCCACTAAGCAACATTAGTGCGGCCAAGCTTTTACTAATGTGAATATGCTTGGCAGCACAAAAATTGGATGTTATCTACCCCAAATTGGATTCTTTTTTAAATATTGATTTGCATGTACACATTTTTTATTTTTGGTGTGCTAGAAAACTGTTTATTAAAAAAATTAATATTTTATAAATAAATAAATATATTATAAAACAAAAATTAACACCAAAATGTCGGAAGTTGCTTCGAATACAAATGCTAACGAAAAGATGACAGCTTTATTAAAAGAAGCTGAAAACTTGAAAACTAAATTGGAGGAAGAGCGCCAGAAATTAAATGATGTTAGCATGTCTAGCATAGCTGAACGCTTGGAACAAATTGCTTTCGTAAATATCAAGCCACGCAAAGTGCTTAAAGGACATCAAAATAAGGTGCTTTGCACTGATTGGAGCCCTGACAAACGGCATATTGTATCATCTTCACAAGATGGCCGCCTAATAATTTGGGATGCATTTACTACTAATAAAGAACACGCGGTTACAATGCCTACAACATGGATAATGGCATGTGCATATGCGCCTTCAGGAAATTATGTTGCTTGCGGTGGTTTAGATAATAAAGTAACTGTATATCCTATTACTAATGATGAAGAGATGGCAGCCAAAAAACGTACCGTTGGCACACATACCAGTTACATGTCTTGTTGCATATATCCAAATTCAGATCAACAAATTTTAACTGGAAGTGGCGATTCTACTTGTGCACTTTGGGACGTTGAGTCTGGACAACTTTTACAAAGCTTTCATGGTCATTCGGGTGATGTGATGGCTATTGATTTGGCTCCCAATGAGACCGGTAACACATTTGTATCCGGTAGTTGTGATCGTATGGCATTTATATGGGATATGCGTTCAGGACATGTAGTACAATCATTTGAGGGACATCAATCTGATGTAAATAGCGTTAAGTTTCATCCATGCGGTGATGCCATTGCAACTGGATCTGATGATAGCAGTTGTCGCTTATTTGATATACGTGCTGATCGTGAAGTTGCTGTATTTTCTAAAGAAAGCATAATTTTCGGAGTTAACTCGGTTGACTTCTCGGTGAGTGGACGATTGTTGTTTGCTGGATATAATGATTACACAGTTAACTTATGGGACACGCTTAAATCGGAGAGAGTATGCTTGCTATATGGACATGAGAACAAAGTGTCATGTGTACAGGTATCACCTGATGGCACAGCACTTTCTACTGGCAGTTGGGACTACACTATACGTGTTTGGGCTTAAATCAAATTATCAATTATGAATTGATGTGATGTTAAATGTTTATAAGATTATATATTAGAAAAAAAGTATTATTGTTATAATGTGTAATTTGATTTGTTGCCATATATTTTTTGTGCCATTAAAGTAAATATATTTTATTAGTTTAGTCATTAAATATTATTGAATTGTATGTATATTGCCTATTAAAATGAAATATGCTTATGTGGTTATTAACTAAAGAATTTATATATATTTTATTTTCGAATTAATTTTAAAAATACTGCTTAAAAATAAATGTTAGAAGAAAACTTGAATAAATAATTTTAAGATATTGCAAATTATATTAAATATTATGTATGAAATTAATTTTGTTTTGATTACTAAATATTTTCATTAAGTGTTTTATAAAACACTAATAATAATCGGTATACTTATTTCACACGATGCCTTCTCATATGTCCTGCCAAACCCGCAGCTTGTGCAAAATATTTATTACACACAGTGCAACTATATTTCTTGTTCTCCAGATGTAGAGGTTTGTGATGGTATAAGGTACGGGAGCATAAAAAAGCTGCACCACAAATTTCGCACTTATGATTGCGCACTCTTGTGTTGGAATGGACTCGCATGTGTTCAGTCAGTTGATGGATTGTTGTAAAGCGTTTGTGACAACGTTCGCAGCCATACTTCTGTACTTCACTGTTATGTATACGTTTATGTACCGTAAAATTACAACTGATGCACGTCTGATAGCCACAAACCTCACATAACAATTTATTAGCCACTCTATGTGCGCCTTTTTTCTTAGCAATTCGTGCACTTTTCAAATCATTACAGTTGTTATCAGTAACAAGATTGAAATGATCATCCGTTACACTATGACAATGTCTGATATGGCTCGTTAATGTTGCTCTGTTTGCCAACAACTTATTGCACAGCTCACACTTATAGGTATTCACTCCGGTATGATACTTCCTCATATGAGTTTCGTAGGTGCACAATTTCTTGAAACGTTTCTTGCAAATTAAACAATCATAAGTATCAGCGAAAGGGAAACTCTCCTTATGTGAAATAATCAGTAAAATTAAATTAAAACTTTTGAACTTAACACTTCTCTTACCTCCTCCCGCTCAGTAGCCATGGATGTTGCAAAACATTAGGAAATAGAACTCATAATTTATCGTACCAATTTAATCGAAACCAATTAACTGCGGTGCTGCTGATTTTTATTGGTCTCAGCATAGCCTGTTTGTTTTAAATCATGCAAAGAGACTATGCTAAATATAATTATAGCATCTAATTAATTAAACTAAAACAATTAATAGTTGTCAAAGCTAAATATAAAATACAATTGTGCATAAAAGCGCCAGAGTGCAATCCACGCCAAGCAAATTTTGAATGCTTTGAATTGCCAAAGAAATTTATCAAAGCAATTTAAATAAATTTACGAATTAATTTCTCTCCTTTGAATGGAACAAGTAATTTCGTGAATGAATAATTGCAAAATGCGAACGAAAGATATTTGCAGAGAAAAGTAATTTCAAAAGATAAAGACAGATATGACCAGGTGGATTTGATTCGTCAAGTGTATATATATATATAAGTGACAATTTTTAATAAAAACGATTTTTTTATTTTTTATATAAAAACTTTATTAGTACTTTGCACGATGCAAGCTTAACTTCTACTGACTAAAAAAAGGTTTTACCTGCTTAGCGCAGCAAGTTCTTTTTTGTTCAATTTAATGATGTTGGGAGAGAGCTTAATGTCACTCCTCCCACCTTAAAAATAAGCAATATTCCTATTGCGTTAAATACACATAATATTTCATATATTTTATAATATTTTATATTATATTTTATAAAGGATAGTTGTAATAATAATATCTGTTTTAATTGATATAAATTTATACAATACAATATATAAAAATAATAAAAAAAATACAATTTCATTTATGACATTAATTTCTTCAAATTTTCTTCTTTTTTTTTTTTTAAAATATACGTTAATTATATTAATATAATCTATTTTAATTTTTTTTTAATCCATTTTAATAGTTTACAAATATATTTTATAAGAGATGATTATAATAACAGTATTCGTTTTAATCGATATAAATTTATACAATACAATTTCATTTGTGACTATTTTAAAATTTTTTTTTCGTTTAAATTGACTTTTATATTTTCTTATATTCTTGTTTTTGAATTTAACTAAAAAGTGTTCATTGTCACTATCAGCTCGAACTAATGCTACTTGCTTAAATGGATTTTTTGTTTTATCAAGACGTTTTCTCACATTTTCAGCGTTGATTAAACCAATATTTATCGAATTTTCTTTTCGTGTTTTATTTAAATTGTTAATTCTATTTTCTTTAATGAGTTGTGAGTCAAATTCTGGAGGTAATCGGTTAAAAAATATGTTATATGGAGTTTGACCAGTAGTAGAATGTATTATGGTGTGATTATATGTGAAAACGGATTGTTCGAATTGAACATATTTTAGTTCCCTGTCATCTGAGGTGTTAATTATTCTAAGTTTTTCATTCAAGGTTTTATGGAAACGTTCAATGTCTGCTATACCGGTTTTTCCAGTACAAACTTCTATTTTAATATTTAATTCATTACACCATTCTTTGATATTGACGTTATTAATGCCTTGATCTTGGTCAATTTTCAATACTTTAGGAGGTCCCATTGTGTTAAATATTTTAATAAGAGCTCTCTTTGTTTCTAGCCAATTTAATGCTTGTACTTCTTCAATTGTACTGAATTTTGAGTACAAATCTATACATGTTAGAAAATGTTTTTTTTCCCATTCCCAGAAATCTATCACATATTTTTCTCTAATTTCGTAAACTGGAGGAGTGATTTTAAATGGCATTTTGTTTGCAACGTGGTCATATTTGCATCGATTGCACAAATCACATTCATTGATGATTTTAGTAATTTCTTTAAAATAGTTAGGAAAATAATATCTTTTCTTGAATTGATATATAATTTTTTCAATTCCTTGATGAAGCCTTCTAAGTGGATTTCAAGAATTTTAGTTTTAAAGTCGGTGTAATTAGGGATATTTTCCAGTTCCTTACTTGCTCTCAGAATCTTATGACGTCTATTGCAAACCAAGGTTTTGAAAATATTTTGAAATCTTAAAAAGTCTTCATTATTTGGCATAAAAATAGCCATGGTATTAGTTAGTAAAAATGACTTTATAATGTCTTTTGTTTGTTCAGTATTTAATTCTATATATTTAATTGTGGTAACACAATTTTTGAATATATGCTCTACATGTGTACTATTTTCATTAGATCTTATTAATCTCAACTGTCTTTTAAAGACATTGAGTGGTCTTTCCGCAATTGGGATAAAGTTTTGACTATCTGATGTAGAATGAATGGTGGCAATATCAGATGGAATTTCATCAAAATTACATTCTTCAATTTGAATGCGTGACAGAGAATCTGCCACATGATTTTCTCTCCCTGGAATATACTTCACAGTGAAATCATATTCATTTAGTTTCCATTTCCACCTTTGCAGTTTAGAGTTGGGTTCTTTTAAGTTGTGAAGCCACTGAAGTGGGCGATGATCACTATTTACAACAAACTTCCTGCCAAAGAGGTATGGACGAAAGTACTTTGTGGCCCAAACAACAGCGAGCAGTTCTTTTTCTGTAGTGGAATAGTGTGATTCATGCTCATTCAGGGTGCGACTAGCAAAGCAAACTGGCCGACCTTGTTGACTTAAAACTGCACCCAGTGCAGTATTTGAAGCATCTGTTGTAAGTGTAAAATCTTTTTTATAATCTGGGTAGACCAAAACAGGGTCTTTTGTTATTAAGATTTTGATTGTATCAAACGCTTTGTTATATTCCCTATCAGTTATATTGACTTTGTTGCCTTTTTTTAAGCAATGAGTTAGGGGTTTTGTTATCTTAGAAAAATCTTTTATAAATTTTCTATAGAACCCTGCTAGTCCCAAGAATTGTTTAATTTCTTTTTCATTTTTCGGTAGTGGATATTTTAAAATAGCTTCGATTTTATTTGGATTTGGCCTGATTCCCTCTGGGGTTACAATATGCCCTAAGAATTCGGCTTCTTTCTTAAGAAACTCGCTTTTATCCAATTGGATTTTTAAATTAGCTTCACTTAATCTGCTAAAGACTCTATCGAGAGCTTCAATGTGCTCCTGGAGTGAAGTACTGAAAACAATTATGTCATCTAAATATACTAAACATTCCTTCCCAATTAATCCATCCAAGATTGTATTCATCAATCTTTGAAACGTGGACGGAGCGTTTTTTAGCCCAAATGGCATACGCAAAAATTCAAAATGACCATTTCTAGTTGAAAAGGCTGTTTTCATTCTATCCTTTGGATCCATTTCTATCTGATGGAATCCTTTTGTAAGATCAATTGTACTAAAATATAAACACCTGCCAAGTTTGTCAAGTATTTCATCCATTAAGGGTATCGGATATTTATCACTAATAGTTATATCATTCAATTTACGGTAATCGATTACGATTCGCCATTTCTGAATTTTTGAAGCATCTAACTTCTTAGGCACCACCCAAATTGGTGCAGAATAAGGCGATTTACTGTGACAAATAATCCCCTGATCTAACATTTCTTTTATTTGTGTATCGACCTCTGATTTGTGGACTTCAGGGTATCTGTAGGACTTAACATATATAGGATCATCATGAGTTGTGTTGATTCGATGTTTGATTTTATTAGTAAATGTTAATTTATCGCCTACTTTATACCATAAATTTTCAAACTTATTTAATATCTTATTTATTTCGCTTAATTCTTCATCATTTAAATGATTTAGTCTAAATTTCGGTTCATAAGCATTGCTATTGAAGTGAAGTTCTTTAATTTCATTATCGAAATTATTTTTAAATTTATAAGTAATATTGTTTAATATAACATTTTTATGAACAACGTCAATTTTCGCTTGAAGCTGTTGAAGTACATCGAAACCTAGAAGACCATCGTAATTTTTAGAGAGGTCACACACATAAAATTTCAAATAATTTTTTCCTTTATCATTATAAACCTCTTGAATATTGTTTAATGTAATTTGCCCTGTTATTGTTGATACTGTTATTGGTTTTACTTTTAATATTGGAGATTTTAAGATATTGGGTTGAACAAGGCTTACTGATGAACCTGTATCAATAAGAAATTCAAAGGTTTGATTTTGTAATTTTAATTTTATTTTTGGTAAGAGTCCGGGGCTTCTAACCGAAAATTTTCGTTATCAGCCTCCGAAGCTCTATTAAAGTTTTGGTTTCGCGAACCGTGATATTTATTAGGGTTCTTATATGGTATATTATAGGAACTATTACCATAATGATCAATACTGCATGCATTTTGATGCGAGTTTCTAACGTTATTGAGTTGAGAACCTGATTGTTGGTTATGATGAATATTTTTCCCAACTACAATATTGTTATATTCATCATTCTCCTTTAAAATTTTTATAGCAGAGTTAACGTCTGCTGCCATGTTCGCATTAATTAGAGCCGTTAAGTGGTAGGGTAGTCCCTTTTTCAGTGTTTTTACACTTAACATTTTTAGTTCATTGAGCAAGAAGTTAATATTTGTTATGTTGGTTTCTTTTAATTTAATATTATCCCTAACTTTACATATTTCGGAATTAATTTCTTCGCAAAATTCTCTAACTTTACCTTTAAATTTGATATTACTTACTAATAGTAGTTGCGTTGTGAGTAAAACTCATCAATCAAATGTGCCTTCAACTCCTCCCAACAAGTTGGTTGCTCTCTTCTTACTAAGTTCAGGGCTTCTCCGCGAAGAGTGCTAATTACGCACTGAAAGTAAAATGGTTTTTCTTCGCCCGTAAGAGATGAAGACTCTGGTATGATTGCGTTGATGCTATCGATATACAGTGCCAGGTATTTATTGTCGCCATCAAATGGAGCGATCAGTTTTACACCTGCCACCGTTCTATCTCTTCTTTCTCTTCCTTCAATCATGGTGTTAACACTCGTTTTTTCTTCGGTCATTTTGGACAACTGATTTTAGATGGTGACAATGTTAGATCCTCTAAAAATTGTTGTATACGTTTTGTGGAAAATTTTGGTAGCGAACTCTGCCGTAATTGCACAAAAATTAGGAATATTTTGTACTTTTGATTTATCTTATTTTTTTTTGTATATCCTTTTTTTATTTATAAGAATAATTTTTTATTCTTTTACTGTTGCTGCTGATATACG